TCTCACTAAGTATTTATTAAGCATTCCATTTTGCACCTTAAGTCTTTATTGTTCTTTTCAAGTTATTTAAGTGATAGTTATGATTTTTTAAATTTAAGAGGTAAATATAATGTTCTTTTAAAATGTAATAAAGATAATATGATTCCTTTAAAAAAATATTGTTGGTTGTGGTTATGCACACTTGTAATCCCAGCTACTCAGGAGGCTGATGCAGGAGGATTTTAAGTTCAAGGCCAGTCTGTGCAACTTAGTAAGACTCTATCTCAAAATAGGGTCTTACCTATCTTGTGTCAATGAGAACAGAAATTGAATTAAATCATTTATTTATTTTTTAATACTGACAAAAATGACCCTGAATGAATGGAATGTGTCACAAGGGAGTTCATTTAGCCTTCTCTGGTTCTGTCCTTACACCTTATAGGTTTCATAATCACTTTTTAGTATCTGGAATTCATCAAAGGCTATTGGAGGGGTTCCATGTGCATTTTTTTTTTTTCTTTCTTAATGTCCCTACAGAATACACCTTTGTCAAGTATTTTCCCTAACCTGAGTATGGGTGTCTTGTCTTTATTTACTTTTTACAAACTTCTTAACCTTGTTGTTGATAGCCTTTCATTCCCTCAAATTCTGCCTTCTACTGTATCAGTCACCTTTAATTTTTTCTTCATCTTAATTATTTTCAAAATAGATTCTAAAACTTTTATTTATTAAAGACTAAAACAGATAAAGACCTCTAAAGGATGAGATGGATTTTAAGTAAATAGGAGTAAGCTAGTCATGGTAAAATGAAAATAGCTAGGCATGAATTGATATTTAGAAGGAGAAAAGATCATTTTAATGGCTGGCTTTGTTTTTTTTGTTGTTTTTTGTTTTTTGTTCCTTTTAAGGCCTTCATACGACGCTGTTTAGCATACCGAAAAGAGGATCGATTTGATGTTCACCAACTGGCAAATGACCCATACCTTCTCCCACACATGAGAAGATCAAATTCTTCAGGAAACTTACACATGGCTGGGCTGACAGCATCCCCTACGCCCCCTTCTTCAAGCATAATTACTTACTGACTTTCCTTCAAGATTGGCATGATATCTTTGAATTGCTTCCAGATGCAAACTTGAGTTTGAGAGCATTTGAGTGTTTTTTGTGTTGTTTTTTTTACAGGACATGGTTAGGAACTGTTTGTGAACTAAAGTTCTTCATAGCATCATTTGTATGAGAGTGGATCATGGACAGTGAATAAATGCACACTTCTTACTTTGACCTTGAGCAGTGAAGGATGACTGCCTGTTGCACAGAAACAGGAATACCATGTTAAGATAGAAGAAAAATGGGGGTTTTTGTTTGTTTATTTGGGGGAACACTGTAAATAACGTTTGTAATACTTAAATATATTTGATTGTTACTAGAGAGTTCTAATTGAAGGGTAGTTTTTCATTATTTAAAAACACATGGAGAAAATATGAGACATATTTCTAACACAAGAACTACAGTGCCTGGATACATTCTTCAGCATTCGGCAGTTAATCTGCTGAAACCAAAGTAAGAACTGAATGACAGTGGCCATTGTGTTTTATAGTAGAATGTGAGAGTTAGAATCTTTGGACAGAGTTAGACTTTGTCTTTTGCCTATTCTGGCTTTTACCAAGTTGTACCTCGAAACCACATGTCCGTTTTTTTTCCACTGGTTATATTAAAGGGAGAGCTGTTAGTCCTAGGTATTTTACACCTTTGATGAAAAGATCTGCTTCTTTTGAAATCAGTTGAATTCACTAAATTGTAATATTTCCAGTGCTTTCAACATGTTAGAATTATTAACAGGTATTTTTCTTTCATTTCCAGGCCTTGTTCATTAAAACAAGAGATAGTATGTAACCAAATGCAGACCAGTTCTATGCAGGATAATGATAAAATTCCCTTCTAGCTCTATTGTAAATTGTTGTACAGATGTCCTATTTCAATTACTAAGTTTCAGCAGCTTATTCTTGTACAAATGTTTAAAAATATGGCTTTTCTAATTGGATATTGTATTTTTTTTAAGTCTTCTTGAAGGCGCTTTAATTGCTGCTAAAATGATGTTGCTTCTTTGCTAAAAGAATTGAATGAGCTCCTTGAAGGTGCAAGTTGACTGTACATTATAGAGATTAAAAACAGGCATTCACTAACAATCAAGGCATGTAAAAATGATCCATGTTGGGCATATTGAGTTCTCTAAATTAGTTTCCTGGGTTCTAGGGCTGTGGAGCACATAGATACTAGATTTATAAATTGTTAATGGTTATTCTACACTTGTAGAAGGTTCTTATCATCAAGGTGGGATGATAGTCCCATAAAAAAGTTTCTTGTGGTTTGTACAGATTTGTTAAAATGTGAACATTTTCTAACTGCCTTGTATGGGTAGAAACCAATATTTTTCAGGATGTTGTATTTCATTCTTACAAGGATCTTTTCTTTATTGTCACATTCATATTGCTGATACTTACATGTAAGTTGTCCATGTTGCAGAAAACAGAGGCTATACCTACCTACCACAGATTCCCCTTAATATTGTACAGTTAAACTGTGGCTCTTATTTCTGAAGTTGCAAGCCATTTTGTTTTTTCATTGTACATAGACACATTGTCTCTTTAAGATGCTGCTGAAATTGTAGAGAATGTAGCCAAAACAGTAATAAACAATAATAGTTAAAAAGTAAAGACTATGAAAATTACATTCAAAGAGAGCTTTCAAGATTTAGGATATTGGCTAACTTAGCTCCTTTACTTAAGGATCAGCTGAAAAAATTCTTTAAGTATACTTCAGGACAAGTATAAAGTGTTTGAAGCTGTTGGAGTTAAACCTAATAACCATTATCAAGGCTAATCCTGGGTAAGTAACACTTAGCACTATCAGGAGTGGCTCAAGGACTATACCTGTTCCTCTGGAGATTTAAGATAGAAATCCTATAAGAATACTGACTTGGTCATGAAATGTTAGCACTGGCTGAGTGTTTTTAGTGCTGCTTACATGTTTTTTTTTAGTTTTGTTGTTTGGGTTTTCATCTTTCTGAATCTTAAAGTACTATATTCATAAAGTCCTGAATTAAAAAGAAAATGCCCACTTTTATTTAAAAATTTGGTGAGGGCCTCACAGTGGCACATGACTGTAATCCCAGCGGCTCAGGAAACTGAGGTAGGAAGATCTCGAGTTCAAAGCTAGCCTCAGTTGCTAAGCAACTCAATGAGACCCTGTCTCTAAATAAAATACAAAATAAGGCTGGGGATGTGGCTCAGTAGTTGAGTGCCCCTGAGTTCACTCCCCTCTAACCGCGCCCCCCCAAAAAATAATTATTTTTTTTGTTGAGGTATAGAATTAATGTTGTGAATCTTACATGAAGCTGAATAAGGGGTAGACCTAGATCACTGCTTCACCATATCATTTTCAAGTGAATGACAGTTCTAGCTTGTGTAAGAATGCAGAAGAGGGAAATAAGCCATAAAATGACACTGCTCCTTTGACCTGGGTTTAGGTAATCATTTTGATGTCTAAGGTATATAGGAGATGAATCAATTTAACAGATCTAGGTCTTCCTTCTAAAGTTTTTCCAAATGAGTGCTATAGATTTTGGAACATGCCAGTACCGAGTAGGTCCAAGGTGGCTAACTGAGCCAAATAGAATAATTTATGATAGGAAATTGGTACCTACTAGTAAATTATTTCTAAGTTACTCTGGTAATCTTTAGCTCTAGTATCTTTTGAAGCTTCTGTTATTTTCTAGTCCCCTGATGTCTGTCTTCAGAATTAAAGTATGTATTCTGTCCTTACAGTGATATCTGAGGTGTTTCTAAGAGTCAGAACTAATACAAGGCAAAATGCAGTTATTATATATAATTTTTAAATCTTTTTTCATTTAAATTAGCTTCATGAACTGGGGTTGTAGCTCAGTGTTAGTGTGTGCTTTTTAGCATGTGTGAGGCCATAGGTTCAATACCAAGCCCCACCCCCCCCCCAAAAAAAAGAAGAAATACAGAAAATAGGAATAAATTAGCTTTAGTTGTGTGCATGTTGAGAAAAAGTAAGTATAGAAGATCACCCTAATTTTTTAAGTTGGGAGTTGGGGAGAGAGAAAGAACAAGAGCAAGTCATTTCAGTTTAATTATACATAAAATGTGAACAAATGTCTCTACAAATACCTCTTTAAAGAAAGCCAAAATGGTGGTTTATTGTTGTGTTGTTTTGCTGTTCATCATTACTTATTAAATGCAGTGTTGATTACCATCAGATGTTACTAGCTATGTTTTAGTGGAAATGCCAACTGTACCTTTCACTTAGTCTTAGCCTTACTTATACTTTTGTAAGTACATTGGCAGGTATTTGTTGTTTGGAATGTTTAATTCAATAAGTGCTTTTAAATTGAATTATTAGAATTCTAGTTCTTGGGTTTCAGTTCACGCTGAAACAGTTTTATAATTTATATAAATTGCCTTTTGATTTGAATTAACTTTAGTTCCCCAAACACATAACACTTCCATTTACCTTCCCTTACTTTCCCTCCCCTCCCCCTTTACATTTTTTGAGGGGTACCGTGTATAAAGCCAGAGAAGAACTTGGTAGAAGAGTTATTTCAAGTTAGAATCAAAATGTGTTGCATTCTTGCTTCCCTGCCTGCTTGCTTTCTTTTTGACAAGGAGGGAAAGTTTATTTTGGCTCATGGTCCATTGCTCTGGGCCCAAGGTGAGGTAGCACATCATGGAGGAAGGAAGCTGTTCCATTCGTGGCAGCCAGGAAGCAGAGAAAGAAGGAGCCACAGGGAAGATAAGCCCTTCCAGGTCATGCCCCAGTGACCCCCTCCTTCAGCCATACCCCATCTGCCTACAGTAACCACCATCTATTCAAAGTAGGATTGACTAATTAGGTAACAGCTCTCATAATCTAATAATTATCTCTGAATATTCCTGCATTAACCCAGAAGCTCTTGGGGGACACCATAATATCCAAACCATAATGTTCTTCCCTGGCCACCATAAGCTTCATGCAAGACGCATTTATTTCATTTCCAAGAGTCCTATAGTCTTTACAGTTTCAACATTGCCAAAACATCTCACAACCAAAGTATCCTCTGAGACTCAAGGCACACTCTTGACTCTGCTCCCCTGTAAAGAAAAAAAAAAAAAAAAGCAAGTTACATATGTCCAGTATTCAGTGACAAAGTAAACATTCCTGTTTCAAAAGGGAGAAATAGGAGCATAGAAAGAAGGGATGGGTCCAAAGCAAGACCTAAATCCATCTGGGCAAACAGGTCCCTTAACTCTTGTGTACAAGAGGACACATGATGGCAAGATGTCCTATGGAGAGGGATTGAGCAGCCCCCACTCCAACTCCTTTAGCCTAACACACAGGGGCTCTCTTTTTAGTCCAGCATCTCCACAACTTTCTCTGCAGCCAGTGGTCAACGACTTCTTTGCGGACAGTCCACATTACTGGCATCTCTAATTTCTGGGATCTCTCTTCCTGCTTTGGCTTCACCTTTACAACTTCGTGCCTTACCCTCTCATGGGCAGCCCAGAGGCATTCCAACCCTGCTATACTTTGCCTGACCTTCTGGGCTTTTCTTTGAATCTTGGTGGGAGCCTGCATGACCCTGTAACTCCAGCATCCTGCATCCTCAACAGCTAGTCCCACATGGATGACACCAAGGTCTGCCATCAACCTGCACCTCCTGGAATCATGACTGTGGCTTCTGAGTGCCTGTGTGGCTGAGCCTGATCTATGACCCTTGCCCCAAGATCTCAAAGGAATTTTCCCTTTTACATCCTTTAGCCTGTGATGGTTGCAGTCTTGCAAATTCTAGAGATTCCCTCAAGCCATCTCTCCTGTTGTCTCTGTGGAAAGTACTTGGCATCTCTTCACAGTCTATAATCTATCAATCACACCTTCCATGGAAGTCTTTAAAATCCTTCAGCTCTGCTTTTTATTCCTGATTTTCACAGTAAACCTGGCTAAAAGATGCCAGTAGTATCCATGGCACGCAGTGACTGCTGTGCTGCCTTGAATTTTTCTCTACCAGATTGATTTAGCCCATCACATTTAGGTTCAGCCTTAGAGTCTCAGGTCATGGACAAAACGTAGACAAGTTCTTTGCCATAATATAACACTAGTGGCCTCTAGTTCAAATCCCAGTAGTTTCCATTACCACTGTAACTTCATGAGTACAGAACACAGTTATTGTATTCTGATCTTTTGAGCTCCCATCAGAATTGCCCATTAAGCTCCATTTTAAAACATTTAAAAACGGATCCAGCCTACATCTCCCAACTTTTCCAAATTCTTCTAGCAAACCAACTCTACAGACTTCTGAACTAGACACAGCAGGACTCCACTAATATACTAATTTCTGTGTTAGTTTCTTTGTCACTGTGACCAAAATATCTGACAATAACAACTTAGAGGAAGAAAAGTATCTTTTTGGCTCATGGTCCAGGAGGAGAGAAGGAAGATGCTTCATTTATGGCAGCCTGGAAGCAGAGAAAGAGGAAATGTATTACTTTTCAGCCAGAAATCACTTGTTTAAAACACAGGGGATGTGGATTGCCTGCGTACATATGACTTTTAAGGCAATAAAATATAATTTTAAGAATTTAGATTTCTGGCCAGGTGCAGTGGTGCATGGCTATAATCTCAACTCTGGAGGCTGAAGCAGGAGGATCGCAATATGGAGGCCAGCCTCAGCAACTTAGCAAGTCCCTGAGGAGCTTAGACCTTATCTCAAAAAGGACTGAGTATGTGGCTTAGTAGTTAAGCACCCCTGGCTTCAGTCCCTGGTACCAAAACAAACAAACAAAGAATTTAGATTTATGGACCTAAATTAACTACCTGTGTTTCAGGTTCCTTATGTGAAAATGAAGATAATAAGAGGTACCTACATACAGAGTGGTTGTGAGGAATAAATAAGGACACATGTAAAAGCACTCAAAACCGTGTTCAGCACACAGCGAATACCATGTGTAACAACATGCGGTTACCACTGTCTTTAAGACTCAAAAGATTATTCTATTTTTGCCTTCTGTATAAAATTGTGGTGGTCTTTATAGTTTAAATTCTAAGAAAAAAGTAGTTATACACTGCTTGGCTGGTTTCAAAGAAGGGATAATCAGATTACCTGAAAATGGAACATGAGAAAATGTAGCAATTTGAAATAGAAAAAGGTAGTGACTGTGAACTCTAATTACCAAAATGATCATGCATTCACCATTTATGCTGCTTCATCACAGGCAATGCTACTCTACTTTCCAGAGTTTTCTGTTCTAATAACAGCTATCTGAGGTAGGGTGGCTGGTATTGGCCTCTTTTTTACAAAGGAAGAAACAGATTTGGAGAGGGGACATAACTTGGTAACATGTAAGCAGAAGAAGAGCTAAAGCATAAGCATTGGAGTCCTGGAGCAAGCTCCTTGCCATGTTAACATTTGCTTTATTATAAACATTGTTCACTGAGTTAAGTCTGACAACAGTGGAATACTGTGGCTGACAACAGTGGAATAGCTGCAAACATGATTGTCACTATAAAAATGCAAATGTAGTCCCAAACTCATTCTGAGTAAGAGGAAGAGTGGGTCACAGGCCTGTTCCTGTTCTGTCAGGTTTTTGTTGCTTTTTTTAAGTCAAGGTGGAGTCTGGCCCTGTCTACCTTGGAGAGAGGCTTCCATGCCTGGTTGTGGGCACTGTTGGGAACACAGAAATACATCCTGGCTTCCCTGAGCCAGCTGATCTCTAGTAAGAACTTTGTGAAACCAACTCTGAACAGCTTCCTCAAATGGAAGCCCTGGAACTTTGGGTAAAATTTATTAGTGGTTATATTATCCCAAACTCTGTCACAGAATCATCTAAGACTGACAAAATGATTCACATGCAGTGCTCAGCAGCAACACCACACATGCATGACCCTGATGGCATCGAGTGGCTCTTAATGGGTTTCAAAATTCTGCATGTAAAGCTTAAATTTCCCTTTAAACATAATCATTTTCATTGGAAACACCTTAGACTGTTTTTTAAAAAATATTTCTTCTATTAGTGAGCCACTCACTCTTTTTTCTTTTATTTTTTAGTTCTAGGTGGACACAATATCTTTACTCTGTTTTTGTGTGGTGCTGAGAATCGAACCCAGTGCCTCACGCATGCTAGGCAAGCGTGCTACCACTTGAGCCACATCCCCAGCCCATAGACTGTTTTCATGACCATGGATGTGGTCAACAGCCCACCATTGTTTAAGTTTGGCTGGGTGCAGTGGCACATGACTTGTTATCCCAGCAGTGTGGGAGGCAGAGGCAGGAGGATGGTAAGTTTGAGGCCAGCATCAGTAACTTAGCCAGATCCTATCTCAAAGTAGAAAATAAAAAAAAAAAGGACTAGGAAAGAGCTCAGTGGTAAAATGCTCCTAGATTTAATCCCTGGTGTGTGTGTGTGCACGCTCACGCGCACACATGCACACACACGTGTCTGAAATGCTAAATGCCATTAACACAGGATATGGTGAGTTCTAGAACAGGGTAGCAATCAAACAAAGACACTTGGATGACTTGGTCCAAAAAATAAGCATGACTAATTTGTTATTAATATCCATCGCTATTTGTTTCAAATGATCATATGCATCCTTAGAAATCTATTTCTGTTAATGACCAAGTTCATAACCTCCTATTGAGGTACTCAGGAAAAGGATGAAAGGCAGAAAACATAGGTTTGAAAGTGAGACCTGGCTTTGTCTCCCAACTTCTCTGAAGCCACTAACTTCTCTGAGGCTTACTTTCCACATCTAAACTCTTTCTACAAATGGGGCTGGGGTTGTGGCTCAGTGGTACAGCACTTGCGTAGCATGTGTGAGACACTGGGTTTGATCCCCAGCACCATATATAAAAATAAGCAAAATAAAATAAAGATTAAAAAAATTGGACTTTAAAAAAAATTTTTAAATGGTGCCTGCCTAACAGGCACTTTGCTCCAGGAGTGGACTTGGGAAATGTTCCCAACTGGCTTTGGACACTTGGAACAAATGCCACAGTGCAGAAGAGGTTTAGAGCCTCTGTTTTAGATAGTTTTTTAACTGCTGTGATTAAAGACCTAACAAGAACAACTTTAGAACAGGAAGAGCTTATTTGGGGGCTCATGGTTTCCAAGGTCTCAGTCCATAGATGGCTAGTTCCATTCCTCTGAGCTCTCAAAACTTTCTGGTCAAGCTACCATGAATATTAGCATAGGTGGCTTCTAGACTAATGTGACAGAAAATTTACTTATATTTCATTTTGACAATGAACTTTAACTTAGCAGTAGGATTTTGCAGAATATTTGTAGAATATTGCACACTCATAGTTTTTACTATAAAACTAAAAGAAATTGAGCTTAGAATCATTATTCTAGGGCATTATGAGGTGATTCAAGAAGCTGAATTAGCCATATTGTATCCAAATTTGTATGAGGTGAGAAACTTTAAACATGGGCAGCATTCTCTCTTATTGTCTTGCATCAACAACACTTTTATATTCAAATGTACTACATTTTATCAAAAGTAAAATGTGCTTTGTAGTTTCTTTGGGAGAGTGAAACCTTTAATGAAATAGAGTTATGCTAAAATGCTATTTAAATTATATTTTTCTGGGATTTTTCTTTATTTTTACTGGACACAATATATTTATTTATTTATTTTTATGTGGTGCTGAGGCTCGAACCCAGTGCCTCACACATGCAGGGCAAGTACTCTACCATTGAGCTACAGCCTCAGCCCCTATTTTTCTGGTTTTTAAAGTTATAAAATAAGGAAGGTAGAAGTCCTTAGTAAATTGACCTATTTGTAAGGAATATTTAGAAAAAGTAATAGACTTTCTAGTACCATGTATGGAAGATGTTCATTCTGCTAAGGACCATGGAGATACTTAAGTCAAGTTTTGAGTTCCACAGGGAAATTTATTGTACAAAATTAATTCCTCCCCACATCTGTGGAAAGAAGCCATATTCAGAGATAAAAATCTGGAAAATATAAAGACTTGCCCTAGGAAAATTTTCAGTCCTACATTAGTTGGGAGGAATACCATGCCTGCATTTATTTAGTGGCCTGACACTGCCAGACACGGTGGCAACAAAGTGTCTTGTTTTGAATTTGTAATCTAAACTTTCCAGAAAGCCCCTTTTCCTTTGTTTCACAAGCCAACTATTTTGGCACTAGAACTCTTTCCTTCAGTGGTTCATAAAGCTGAATAAAACCACGATGGAAACATTGATAGCTATAGTAATTTGCTGTTACCACAGAAATTAAGAGTTTAAGCCTGACCCTAAACTCTTAAAAATAGACGTAGGTTAAAAATCATTCTTTTTTTTTTCTTTTTTGTCTTTTTTCTTCATAGATAATACTGTGCCACACACAAGTTAATAAATGTTAGTAAATACTGCTTAATAATTGACAGAAGGCTAAAAATGGTAGCATCCAAGTTCTCTTCCATGTAGCTTTCCCAGGTACCTAACCCAGGCTGCATCCTGAAAGTATTAAGGTTGCTTTGTTGTTGTTGTTTGTTTCATTGTTTTTTTTTTTCCCCTACAAGTATGAAATCTTTTTGCTATGTCTATTTTTCCATCTAAGGACGAAATGGTATAATTAACAGAATGGGAGAAGCTATGGTTAACAAGTTACCCACTTCACTCCCCGCCCCTACCCCTCAAAGGAAAGGTTGATTTGTCAATTCATGCAAAATCTACTTTGGCTGTCCTGGGCAACTCTCCAAGACAGATCTCCTCCCTGCGATGACTATGAGATCCAGGTTGCTTGCTTTTTGTGGGTCCATTCACTTGTATAGGAAGAAAGGTGAGGGAGAGACATTCCTGGTTCTCAAATTTTTCAGACCAGAGTGGCATTCCCTGCTACAGTGGAGTCATATGGTCCCAAATAACTGCACAGGAGGTACTATATTTTTATCACCCTCAATAACTTGCATTTGCTGGGTGCAGCAGAGCATGCCTATAATCCCAGCAGCTTGGGAGGCTGAGGCAGGAGGATCGAAAGTTCAAAGCCAGCCTCAGCAATTTAGTAAGGGCCTAAGAACTTAGTGAAACCCTGTCTCAAAAGAAGGACTGGGAAATGTGGCTCAGTGGTTAAGTGCCCCTAGGTTTAATGCTTGGTCACAAAACAAACCAAAATAATTTGCATGTTAGAATCATTTTATATGTAATGTGTACTTTCTAAAAAAGGTCTCAACCTCAAATACATAGTTGCTCTGTGGTGACTTGCTAGATTTGGGGAGTTGTATGAAGCAGAAGCCTAAAGAGCTTAACTGAAAATTTCTAATCTACAGAATCCCTGGAGTTATTATTATTATTACTAGCTTCATTACCACCACCATCATCATCATCATTATCATGTAGTAACTGTACATACTGATAGGTGCAGGGTGATATTTCAACACATATATACAGGATTTATTGATTAAATCATTTCCCTCCTTGATTTTCATGTTTGGAGCCTTGGAGCTCCTCTTACAGATCTTCAAAAAGTGGATACTAGGGTACTGTGATACTAGGTACTAGGATACTAGGTACTGGTCACTCTTATGCTGCAGAACATCGAACTTAACTCCTCCCTGCTAACTCTGTTTTGGGACCTATTTTTCATCTTGCTCGTGTGCTTCCTCCACTCTACTCTTCCTAGCCGCTAGTAATTACCATTCTAGCTTTCACATAGGAGAGAGAACATGCAGTATTTGTCTTTCTGTGTCTGGCTTATTTCACTTAACCTAATGTCCTCCATCAAGACAGTAACAGATCCCTTGCCCCATGCTCTGGATGAAAACCCATGTGGGAGGGGGCATACCTAAGCAGAAGAGCAAAGGAAAACTGAGATGAAGCTTCATTCCATCTCCACACCATGTCCTCTATCTAAGGAAAGAACACCGAAGTCAATTTGTTGGACACTTACTGTATACCAGGTATTATAATCAACCTTTTCTTGAATCGTCCACAACAACCCCACAACAAAGCCCATATTTTAGACGGAGCAGGGGAAGGGGCATTGAGAGATTAAGTTGTTAGCTCAAACTGTGAAGTAACAGAGCAGGGGCTTAAGCCCAGGCCTGACTGGCCCCAAAGCCTAGATTCTAAGGCCCACTTGGATTAATCATCACTAGTTCTATTATTCACCAACATCATTCTTTTAAAACAATATATTCTGGGCTGGGGTTGTGGCTCAGTGGTAGAGTACTTGCCTAGCACTTGAGGCATTGGGTTTGATCATCAGGATCACATTAAAAAAATATATAATAAAATTATTTTTAAAATTTCCTCAGAAGTTTTCACATGTTAACTTTTATTGCTTATATATATATGTGTGTGTGTGTGTATATATATATATATATATTTGATAGCCCTTTATTTTTCATTTATTTATATACAGTGCTGAGAATCAAACCCAGTGCTTCACTCATGCCAGGCAAGTGAGCTACCGCTGAGCCCAAGCCCCAGCCCCAGCCCCAGCCCAAGCCCCTAGTGTTTTCTTAAAATCACTCCTGTGTTTAAGAGGCCTTAAAATCCCCAACACACTGTTTAGAAACCTTTGAATTGACAAAAGTAATGGCAAGGCAAAGTCTTCAATTAACTTACAATGCAATATCAAGAAAAATTACATTCGACTCCTGCAGATCATGTTTCCTATATCGTTATGAGATTTATAAGGATAGTTTATGATAATTAACATAAAAGCAGTTCTACTGAGAAATTTTTAGGATAAAATTCTATTTATCCTCCAGTCGGATGGTGAAAGACAAAACCTTGAACCTGGTGACTGGGCAGAGCAGCCCTTGCCTTGCAAGTCTCTCCTGGTCACAGGCACAGACACCTTCAAGAGACAGCCAAGGGCTCTGAGGGAAGGGGCAGGAGGTTGTAATATTAAACTTCTCCCACCTCCTCCTCAGCCCATTCTGTGCCCCCGCCCCAGCCAGGAAGGCTGCCCTTCCCCACCCAACCCTGTCCAGGGTCTCTGGTCTGCAGAGGGTCAAGGCCAGGGTGGGGTCAGGGACCCCACAGTGTACCCTCCATGCATCAGACACTGCTACCCTCATTCTATCATCCTGAGCTCACCACTTAGAATTAAACTTGTCTGAGGTTCAATTAGCAGATGGCGAGTGCTGGGGAGTGGACTGCTAAACCAGACAGTCCCAACCACCAAGCAGGAAGACTGAAAGTACAAACCCCAAGGCTCCCCGTCTCCAAAGGTCACGTTGAGTTGTCTACTCTGACCGTCTACTTCTTTGCCAATCCGTGATAGAAAGAGGCTATGCCTAGGAAGAGGACATGGCCGCCTCTCCAATAATTGAAGCTCCCCCAGAAGCGGGCGATTTGATGGCCACCATTCGACTGGGTTGCTCCGCGCGCTTTGAACCCACGTTTCTATGTGTGTCAATTGCAAAAGAATTCTTCTTGCTAACAAGGAGGTTTTTCAAACCACTGATCTTTGTAAAGAACGAGCTCCCTGAGCACTTCCCTGCCCAAACAATAGGCACCCCTTTATGAACTCCCCGGACTGGACAATCTAAGCTCCTTAGCGCGGCATTTCAGGCTTTGCACGACCGGGCTCTACCTCCCCTCCCGATGCCACTGGCTCATACCATGCTTCACCCTCGGCCCGGCAGCGCCGCAGCAGTGAGCAGTTCCGAGGGCGCGGTGTGCTCTGTACCTGCCTGTATTCGCTGCCCCAAATGCCTTTCCACGTTAACACCTAATGGATGTGTAACTGATGTGATTCTGCAATCTGTATACGGGGTAAAAATGGGAGTTCATAACCCACTTGAATCAAAGTGTGAAATATGATATATCAAGAACTATGTAATGTTTTGAGCAACCAACAATAAAAATTAAAAAAAAAAAAAGAGAACCTCTATCCATCCCCCAAAGTCCTGATGTCGTCTCCTCCCCAAAGCCTCCTCTGATCGCCTCAGGTGGAGTAACTCTGACTCTGCGCAGCTCGGTCCCTTGCTTTCGCCACACTGGGGGACCAGTGGCTCATCTTGGGAAGTTTTTGGATTCAGAGACGCCTGGGTTCCATCGCAGCGGCTCCCCCGACAGGCTCTCGGGTCTGTGAGAAGCAGGAATGTTTGTCCTGCGAGGCTGCAGGGAAGGTTAGAGACGGGAGGGACCGCCCAGGCCCGGACGGGGACAGGGGACCCCCGCGGGCTCTAACGTTACTCCGGGGCGCGGGCGGAGGGAGGCGGGTCTGGGGTGGAGGGGAGCCAGCAGTCTCCACGAGGGTGCTAGGGTTCCTCATGATCCTCGAAGGCATCCCGGCCGCCTGAAGGGCTTTTCAGCTTTCTTTATTTTAACCATCCTCAGGTAGATCCATATATAAAAATATTTACTTTAAATTTTGGTAAAAGCACCCAGGCTCTTTTGCATCCCACATCCAACCTCACAACTGTGCTAGAAGGATAGCGGGACCAGGGTCCTTCTTACAAACAACCAAAAGCGCCCCCACCTTTGGGGCTGCTCCCGCGACGCCTCGGCCCCGCCCAGGGGCCCTGCCAATCCGGTCCGGAGACCCCGCGGCCTCCGACGGGCTGCGGCTTTCCCAGGCTCGCAGCGCCACCTGGTGGCCCTCGGCGCTCACTGAAGGTCCTGTGGCGGAGCCCTCCTTGGCGGCGATTCCCCTCTACTGTGAGCAGGGGTAAGAAGGTGCCCCTGGACGAAGTGAAGCTGTGCCAAAAAAAAATTTGCCGAGAGCAGGTGAACCCCCATATGAGGACAGAACTGAGGCTTGAAACTGGACAGACCGAGCTGGATTAAGCTCCTACCCCTAGATTTTCTTACGACGTGATCGGGGGCCCTCCCAGCCTCGGTTTGAGGTCTGGGTACCACCTGCAGGAAAACTCTCTCAGCCCTGGGCCTGGTAGGCACAGTCAACCCAACGCTTGCTTTGTTTTGGTTCCTTTTTCTCACTGGAGTTTATTTGTAAAGAAAACGACTTCAGCCTATTTAAAGCAACTATTTTTTTTTCAATACATGTTAAAATAAACACTAGGTATTAAATTAGAAATTCTTTTTTTTTTCTTGTGTACATCATACTCTGGGTAACATTAGTCCATGGGATTGAGTTTAGAGCCTGAGCCTGGTTTGTCAACGCCCCATCCTTCGTTAAACTCTTGGCTTAGGAGAGAGATAAATTTAAAAATGAATTTCATTATCTCTGCAGTTTCATGCTTTTTTATTTCTGGTCATTTCAGGAAAAGAAAACACAACCTTGGCAGAGAACAGGCAGATCAATGAGCTCTGAGCTCCTGGACTCATTTAACAGGAGTCTGGTTCTTCCTGCTTTTATTCTGCTCCTTAACCAGATGATGGAGTTTGCTCCTCACTGCCAAGAAACACACAGGTTGTTTAGCTACTGATTTAAAATGAACCAGTGTTAGAGCTATGTATGCTTCTGATACCTGATGGCTAAAATTATTTCCAGAGACTGAAAGGCCAAAACAATACCTAGATGCAGTGTGGACTTGCCACTGGGTCCCTAGGCCTGCCTTCAGTTGGTACAGTTGTCTGTACCATAATAGGGACATTCCTGGTCAAGTCTATTTACAAACACAAAGTAATATTGGAAATCATTCACAGTGCAAGTCTTTTAAGACATCACTGATGATTCTGATCTAGGACCAGTGTTGGGACTTCTCAGTGAAGAGCTACCTCTGTGTAGTCATAGCATGAACCTTTGAGATGCTGCGGGGGGGGGGGGGGGAGATCAAGCTGTAAGAAGACCAACATGAAATAAGGCTTTCTCTTGCTCAGTCGTCCATATCGCAGCCCCCACCCCCCCATCCCCCATCCCCAGATGGAAAACAACAACTCTCTTGTTTGTGCTGATTAAAAAGTAATTCAAACGTGTTTTTAAAAATTCAGGAGGATTGGGGATGTCACTCAATGACAGAATACTTGCCTAGAATGTGCAAGACCTTGGGTTCAACCCCAACACCACAAAAAAATAATAATTTTGATAATAAAGGAGTATGTAAGAGAAAAAATGAGAAGTTCCTATAACTGTACCCCTAGCTACCCTAATTTAAGTGCTTCTCAAAGATGCTTATTTGAACCTCAGGAAGACTTGAGTGCCAGTGTCAAAACAGGCCAGTCACATCAGAGCTGGGTGGACGGTAGGTCCCTCTCACTAGGAAGAAGGATAAGGTCATTCAGGCCTGCATGAACTCTTACTAAACTTTTTGTACTTAAAAAAGAGAACTGACGATAAATTCTAATGGAGCATGTTGTTAAGATAAATAATTAATGGGTGTGGAGACCCAGTATATGGCTTTGGGAAAAGAGGCTGGTGAAACTCAAATTCCTGTCACTGTTCTTGTCATTCATTGCCTAAGGACCTATTTTCTCTCTTGCATTTATAGTTTTAAGCACCTGCTTCAAATTTCGTCAACCTAATGCCCATTCTACCATGAATCATTTGATTCCTAAGAATGAAGTCCATGACGGACCTTGTTTTCTGATGAATCTGGACCTCCAGGGGCTCTGGACACCTGAGCCTGTGCCCTGCCTTTCCTCATCTTCAGTACCCTGAGGATCAGGATAGTACAGGGTACTGCAAATTCAGACTCCTGCAGGGCCAGGTGGGCTGAAGGACTGGAAAGCTCTAGGGAGCACTTGTTTCCCTGTGGGACTGATTTATGACTTTTTGTGAGAAACCAGAAATCTAGGTTTATGTAAGTCCTGATATTTAGATGTTCCCAACTTAGTCACATTTTAGCATACACAAGGCAGTTCAAAGAAACGTGTTGGAACACCAGTTTGCTACCCCGTTTGTTTTCTGTGCAAAAGGCTTGCACAGAGCTGAGCTCACCTCATCATTCACTCCACAAACAGTGATGCCTAATAAATGTTAGCTACTATTATTGCCCCAAGTCCCATGGCTGTTGTGAAGCACAGGCTTGTATTTGTATACTGCTGGGAAACATGGAGCCACCTGAACTGTCATAACACTGACAGTTCCTGGGGCCCATCCTCACTAGCAGATGGTATGTGGAGTTTCCTTTGAAGGAAAGGATAAGGTCATTCAAGCCTGCATGAACTCTTACTAAACTTTTTGTACTTGAAAAAGAGAACTGACGATAGTAGCCATGTTCATGTCACTCCCTTAAGAGGCAGCAGTTTCTGCACTTCTTAGTTGCACTTTAACAGGTAAAAACTGTCCCTGGGTGCTGGCTGCACCCTTGTGTTACGTTCAGCCCCCTCACGTGAAGCTCCCAGGGGGACACAAGCCTGGGAATGGGTCTTACTTGCCCTTCCATTGGCCTCTTGCTCTAGAGCGTGAATACCTACCACAAGGTTAATTTTCCATTCTACTTAGTCAGTGGGATGGATATGCAAGCGGGCTTTAAATGAACACTTGGGCTAGTCATGCTCAAAATTGTTCTTCCCAGATCTAATGCAAAAAAATATCAGTGATAATACCCTCCCTCCTCTAACCTTTGCTAAACCGTGTCTTGGTAGATGACCTTCCTGTGGCCTTATTATCTCCCCCAGTTTTGGACCAGCCTGGCTTAATTATCACCTAGGAGGAAGATGTCAGTGTTCAGTGCTGTGGCTCTCACCTCCTTCCCAGGGAATGTTTTTAAAAAACTCCAAAAGTCCAGAATCCATATTCTAATTACTGCGTGACTAATCTGCAGGCAGGGCTGAAACCTTGCTGGGTGCTCAAGATAATTAAAGAGGAAGGCCTTTAGGGTAGAGATGGGGACCCAGCCTTTCTTATAAGGGAACTGTTGATAAATAGGGCCACTCTGAAAGAAAAAAAAAAAAAAAAACATTGACAAATTGTTGAAATAAGATGTATTTTATTTCCTAATAAAGCAAATATACCTGTAGCCAACAGTTCAAGGTGGCAGCAAAGGGCTTTCCTATTGAGAGCTCCAGGGGCACCTATCAAATTTTGAGTGCTTTTCCACCACCTAAAGGGTCAGCCCAGCTAAGCCTTCTTCAGCTGCCAGAGATCCTTCCTGTCACCAAGGCTCCACACCTCCCTCTACATGAGACCCTTCACTTGTCACAGTACTTGTGAATTGCCATGAAGTTGCTTCATTGTTTTCTTTTGATGGTGCCAGGGATTAAGCCCAGGGCCTTGTGTGTGTGAGGCAAGCACTCTACCAACTGCGCTATATCCCCAACCCCTCTTTTTCCTTTTTGTACCAGGAGTTGAACCTGGGGTGCTTAACTGCCGCAGTCCGTCCGGCTGCAGCAAAATAACCAGGGGGGGGGGGTGACGAATAACTTGTGTACGTTGATACAGCAGGAGTAGGAGCCGTTTATTGTAGGACAGGAGCAGTATTTATACATTCCACACAGCTTATCTAATTAGCATAAACTAGATACATCAGTCAACCAATAAGGAATCTCCACACTTAATGGCTCGCTTTTGTTACTTCTCAAACCACTCCCTCTGGCATTTTGCCAGGCACCATCCAGACTTGTTTACGAACTCTAACATTCCCCTGGCAAAATGCCAGGTGTTATTTTTGACTTGTTTACAGACTCTAACACTGAACCACTGAGCCACATTCCCAGCCCTTTTTATATTTTGAGACCGGGTCTTGCTTCGGACCTGTGATCCTCCTATCTCAACCTCCCAAGCCACTAGGATTACAGGCATGAGTCACCACACGCAGCATTTCTCAGTTTCTTAAAGGAGGGCTATGTCCTGAGCCATGACAGCAGCTCCAGCAGCCCACAGGTCTCTCAGTTCTGAGCAAGGCCATCCTGGAGGTTTGGTATGTGCTGCATCAATAGGGAAGAGGCCACAAAGCCATTTCTAGGTCATCAAAAGTTTCAGGAAATGAGCTAAGTGCAGCTGTTCTAAGAGCATGTAGTGATGAACTAACATAAAACAGAAATAAAAATCAACAGGGAAAAGATAAAGTCATCCCAGTCCTCATGGGCCTTGGGTGACAATGGACCTTCCCCCATCTCTCCTGGAGTTCAGCCTCCCCACTGCTTCCCTCAGTGGCACACTGCAAGGCCACGCTGCCCCACAGTGACATTTCTCCATGCCATCTGCGTGAAAGTGGCTGGTGCTCAGACCCATCTAACCTTGCAGCTTCTGCCTAAGTCTTCATGGAAAATGTCACCTTAAAAGCTGCTGTTCTCTTCCCAGTGCCCCTCATCTGAAATGTCTCTTCTGTTCCCTCAAATCTTAGGCAAATGGTGGGGCTGCATGTGTACCTACCTTAAAGGCTACACTGCTGCTTACTGTCCCTCATTGACCACCCTTCTCCCTCTGCAGTGAGGGCACCAGCTGTGGCCCCCAAATAAAGGCTTTATTTCTCAGCCTCTTTCAGGTAGACATGGTCACATGGTTCCACACTGCCTAAAAGGATGTACGCCAAAGTGTTTCACGTAACTTTTCTGAAGCTACCCCAAAAGAAGTGGGGAAATGTCTCCTGGCTGAACAAGGATGAATGGCTGGGGCTGCACCTGCCATCTGAGACCAGGCCATGACCCTGGGAATGGAAACCACACCCAGGAGAATTACAAGACGGAACCAAGGTTTCTGGCACCATTGGGCCAGATCTGCTCAGACTGACTACCTCTATTTGAACATGGGAGAGAAATAAGCTTTCTTGTTTAAGATACTATCGTGGCTCTCTTACAGCCGAGGAAATGAGGCTTAGAAAGATTAAGCTCCTTACTTCAAGTTACATGTTTAGTGTGGGCCTGAGAGGAGGTTTACTCCCAAGTGTTTTGAAGCTAGAGCAGAGTTCTGCCTCACACTGGGGAATGTTCTAAGTAGAAGCAGCTTCTGCTGCCAGTAGCAGGTCAGCACCAGCTCCCGGGGGGAAGGAAATCATAGTTTGGAAAGAAGCAAATTATATCAGAGGAAGCTGAAAATTAAAACACATTCCCATCAAGTGGGAGATTCACGAATGCAGTTTAAACTATCTTATTGACTGTGGAAAGATTTTTACTTTCTTTAATCAAAATAATGAGTGAGATATTCAAACACCAAAATATCTTTATCTTACAACATAAATCCTGTTTGGTCTTAATGAATTAATGCCATGTTGAATGTGGATTTCTATTTTCTACTTTTCTGAGATTTTTTTTTTCATTCAATAAGATAATTGTTTTGTGATTGTACTTTTTTCTGTTTTAAAGCTATTTTTATATCAGCTTAATCTGAGCTTCATTTAAAAAATACAATTTCTGTTTTTTTCTGTTTTGATGCTTTAGGAAAGGAAAAAAATTAAAGCTTATTTATATATCTATATATATATAAAAAAGATACTATCGTGTTGAGAATTTCTGAGGTAACTGAGCCTAATCCAAATCAATGTCAAACCCCCCCCCCCATCATGGCCATGTGACTCTCTTTTTGTGAACCTGGGAAGATGCTGACGAGGTATAGGCTATCCAAGTTCCTTCTGACTCTATGGGCTCTGGCCCTCAGGGCTGCAGTGGAGTTCCATCTCCATGACTACAGCACTATCCTGGAGTGCCCTAAGGATGGAATCCGCGGCCTGTCTCCCCTAAGAGGCCCCAGGGAGTGCGCTACTGCCAGGGTCACCATCTTATATCTGTGTTTTTAGAACCTGGAACAGGATCTTCTATTGTCTTTAAAGGCTGAAACGAAAGGTTGTGGGCACAGGTCAGGGGTTAAGTGAGTGCCCAGCACAAGCACAACCCTGAGTTCAATCCCTAGCACAAAAAAAGAAAAAGACTGAAACTAGATTTCCTGAAGAAAGTAGAGAATACCCAAGTTTTTACCACCTCAGAGACAATCCAGTAAGCCATTCTAGGCCAAATCTGTGCCATCCTTTACCTGAGTGTCAAGAATTGCTTTCCCCCTCGGCCTTATCCACATACCTGTGGATATTTTCCCAGGAAGATGGTCCAGGGCTGTCATTCTCAAATGAGAACTATGACCTCAAGAGTTAAGAATCACTGCAGTGGAGGACATACTGTTAAAAGCAATAAATTGGCAGAGCTTGAAAATCACTCACTTGCTTTCCCCTAAGAGATGTCCTTTAAATTTGTTATTGTTTTTAATGTGAACATCTTTTAGAAAGTGGTAACATGATCACTTTCCCTGTACAGGAAAGCCAAAAATTGTTAACATTTAAAATGTGCTTGTGAATATTATCCCTACCTGCTGCCAGTTCCTTTGCAAAAAATTATGACTGTTAACAGAAAGAAATAATCTGTAAATATTTATCACACAAGCAGAAGCCATGACTAGAGTTGGAACTTTCTTTTATCACTTAGTTTTACTACATATTTGGCTCCAGAAATGGACAGAGCCTAAAAATCGGTCAGCACTGGGCCCCCTGTCAGAGGTGCAGGATTGGCGTTAATTAGTTCCCAGATGAGTGGTCAAAGATGAGTCACCCATGTTGGCACCTCAGTATCAGCAGCACTGCGGGTACCCAAGACTTTATATTAGTACTAGGTCAAAAACCAATTAACCTCTTTCATATTATTTCAAAATTGGGGACATAATATGCATTTAATTTCATTCAATAAATCAATTCCAGTTAACTTACCATCTCTTAGAAACTTAGAAAAAAGCAAACATAAATCATAAACAATTAAAGACATGGGACATATTGAGAGAATAACACATGACACATATGGCAACTGAATTGCAATTTAAATGTAACACAAGAAGAAAAGTAAAATTACAGTAATTTATTGCTATATCTCTGCTTCCCCAGAATAGCTATATTATAAGTAGCCACAAAGTGCCACCTTCTGGTTTAAAATTGTGCAACATCTCCTTTATTTCTCTTTAAATGCCATCTGAATGGTGGACGTAGAAAGCAACAGCAGCAGTTACAAAATGTTGTCTGAGTAATTCTGAGAGCTCAAAACAAGGCTGAATAAAAAGATGTTCAATTAATAGTGCACACTGTGTAACTTTAACAAACATCTCCGATTGGAACTTCTGTGTAAACCTTAATAGAGATTCGACTCACAGAAACCAAAAGTAAAGTTATCGTTTCCTTTTACAGTTTAGTGAGGTGGTTTGCATTCTTGCAACGATTTACAAAGTACAAGAAATGTGTGTGAGCACTAGGCATAAAATATCCCATTTTCTTATAGAAGGAGCAGTAGGGGGCAGGAAACCCAGTGGACACCTTGCCACCTCCTTTCCCAAAGATGTACACCCCAAAATGGCAGTGGACGCCTAGCTGCAAGCCACCTTTACAACTCTTTTTGGTTGTTTGAAATACAAGCACTTTCTGACATTTCCCTCCCTGGCCCGTGAGCCCCACCCCAACTTGGCAGGATACAAACCCACGTCCGCTTGCTTAGTTTTCCCCTTAGAATTATTTACAGGACACCTACAGATACGGTACAAACTAGTATGAAATTAATGATAGTTTGCATTTCCAGACACGCTCCCGTGGTTAAATAAATACACCACGCCAATTCTGAAGACAGGTTCAGAGTGAAGGTGACTCAGAAGCATTTGCATCCGTAACTGTAACCGCAGAAACAGGCTTCTCGCTGGCCGGGGTAGAGTCGCTGATTCTGTCCTCAACAGTGACGAGGGCCTTGGAGGTGGGGGACGTCACATCCACAGTGAGTGAGGGGGCAGCGTCTGCCTTTGCAGTAGTCGTGACAGGGTCAGAAGATGGGATGCCGGCGGGTGGGAGGGAAGATAGCAGCTCCCCTGAGCTGGCTACAGAAGAGCCTTCTGGAGCCAAAGGGAATGATGGGAGGAACTCGGACGGCATGCGGAGAGGTGCAATGCCAGGTAAGTTTTGGGGAGGCAGGGTAGGAAGAGGTGGCAAACCTAGGACAAAAAGACATAGGTCATACACCCTCCCAGCACTGAGAGAGCAGCTTTCCTCATCAGATGACTGCCTGTATCTGATCTCATCAGGAATGCTGAAGCTGAGGACAGAGAACATAAATCCCAACTTCTGCTTATCTCCAGCTGGAGGCCATGAAAGAGTTAAATGCATCTTGCAGCCCAGCTGCAGCAGCAGCTGGCCTTGGGCAAAGGTTCCCAGGCTTGTAGGCCCCAGGTGACTCAGCCCAACACGGAGGAAAACAGGCTCAGGGGAGACGGATCCAGACCAGATGGACGTTAGCCGCCCAGTAGCAAAGTAGCTACAATGATATGGGAGAGGAGGACTCATGCTCCCCGAGGTGAGGTGCAAGCTGCGTTACAGCTTTCTCTGGTGAGAAGCATGAAGAAGAGATGCAGGAGCCATCCTCCTGTGAAAGCTGTGGAAAGCAGGGGCTTGGGGAACAGCCCCTCTACTAGCCTCGCCACAGGGTCTCAGCGTCTTGGTAGCCCTATGATTGATGACTATTGATATTACTGTTGGTGGGTTTATTCTGATGATTTTATAATTCAGAAAGCATGAAAGGAGTATTAAACAGCAACAAAGGGAAGGCAGGCTGTCAACATACATGCAGGGTGACCACTGGCTGACACAACCCTCTTGCTCTGACAGGCTGTTAAAGTGGAGGGAGGGCAGAGGAAGAGCCAAGAACACAGAGAGAAAAGAAAAGCTGGAGGGGATGCTAGGACTGGAAATGGCAGTTTGGGTTTACTAGGATTTCCCTTGCACTGAAAACTAAGTGAGGTAATGAACACAAAGGTCGTGAGTGCTACAGACGGACAGTTATCATCTAGGCAGAAATGTGACAGTGACACTGAGCACAATGGTACAGTGAGTGAACTCCTTGGCATCACCGAGGGGCTGCTTGGTCGCTCTCATTTGGGGAATCTTAGCTCTCACAGCAGATTTATGAGGTGCTGCTGCTTCATTTTCACCTGTGCACAAAATCCAACCACTCTGCATATCTGCTAACTGAACTATCTGCAGCTAAAATCTCTCAGTTTTTACTATAAAACATTTGTGAATAATGGGGGATATTTATCAAACAACAAGCCCAGCTGGCTGAGCAGGTCTCATCATTTTACAGCCTAAGTTTCTGGGCTTGCACTACACAAAATAGCAGCACTCCTCTCCCGCTGGCCACTGCTGCAGAGATAAGAGAGTAACAGGGATTCATTCATCTCTACTGGGTGAACTGAACCCCCTTCACCAAACTCAGTGTGGCAGTGCCATTCCACAGCTCTTTATTTCTATGACTGGCCTTTCTGGTGCTTGAGCTGTCAGGATGCAGGGAGAGGAAAAAAGAGAGAGGCAGCAGGCAGAGGAATCACAAAGATAGTCTTCTCTTTTTAAAAAGTTTTTAAATAAAAAAGGTTAATATTTGTATTCAAAGTTAGCTGAAATTTGTTAAACCAATTTGCCTTTTCTAGAAATAAACTGAATTAAAGGACTGGCTTTCCTGAATACAGTTGTTTATTAGCAGGGTCCTAGGAGGGTAAGATGTGCAACATACCCGGATTCACGAGTTCTGGTAAGCCAACCCCTGGCAGGAGGTGTGGTGCGGGAAGGTTGAGGTTCGGGAGGCTGGGGAGGTTGGGGAGGCTGGGGAGGTTAGGGAGTCCTGCTGGCAAAGGCATCAGACCTGAACAGAATGGGGAAGAGAAGAAAAATTATATCACTTCACCTAGGTAAGAAAACAGATTCTTTTATACTGAAAAAAATGATTCACTTCAAAGTGCAAATACCAGAGGTTCACTAAATGTGTGTCACTTTTGTCCAGAATATCAACAACAAAAAATCTCACTCAACTGAACTATATTTCTATACCTAAGCCATTTAGTTGGCTATGTGGGTAAAAGTTAAAACAAATAACTTACACTCCTGAAAATCTGGAACAAGAATGACAACAATGGCCTGAGTGTCTGGGAGATAGCCTGATTCACTCAGTCACTACAGTAGTAAATGGAACTGATTTTTTCTTTGATTGTTGAGCTCACAGTCTCTCTGGTTTTCTTTTTCATTCTGAGATAATTTCAGACTTATAGTTACAAAAGTAGTAACAATAATTCCCACACATACCTATCACCCCAACTCCCCAAGTTAATCTTGCACACAGTTGCTTCATCACTGTGTGTGTGAGAACTTGGTTCCTGTCTTAACAGTACAAGGACAGCCAGGTTTTTGTGTCCCAATCTGTAATTCCAGTAACTTGGGAGGCTGAGACATGAGGATCTCAAATTTAAGGCCAGCCTTAGCAACTTAGTGAGACCCTGTCTCAAAATAAAACAAAAAGGGATAGGGATGGGGCTTTGTGGTAGAGCGCTTGCCAGCGTATGTGAGGACTTGTGTTCTGGGACCAAAAAAAAAAAAAGTACAACAACATTAACTGTATAATTAAAGGCCCTTCACAATAAAAGTATACTTATAGTCACTGAAATAACATTCTATTGTTTCTGGACTTGCTCTCCATTGGCAATACTAAGAGAAAAACACAAAAATTTATAATGTTAGAGCTACTGAAGACCCAAACAAAGAACATCTCTTCCAGGATATTCATATCAACAACTATCACAAAGTGCTAGCTGCACTGTGGGACTGGGGGGTGGGTGGTAGTCGGCTGGGGTTAAGGAGCCCTGGGATAGACAGGGCTAAGAGAGAGGGGCCACTTTCTCTCCTTTATCACAAAGTTACTGCAGAGAGAAAATGATGATTAAAAGGCATAAGCAAGGCTGGGGATGGAGCACAGTCTTAGCCTATCTAGTATGTGTGAGGCCCTGGGTTCAATCCCCAGTACTGGGGGGAAAAAAGGCATAAGCAGTCATCACACAGGTGCAGGTTGTTTTCAGATGCAAATATTATCATCACATATGTCTCTAGGCCCTCTTGCTTACCTGGTAATGTAGTAGCTGGGTTCATTGGTGGCATAGAAGCAAGGGATTGGTTTACTTGTGGTGACAACAACGGTACTGTTGGCACACCTAAAATAAAAGCACAATTTAAAAAAATTCCTAACAAATTCCTCTGACAAAAGAATAAACAGACTACAATAGAACCCCCCACGGTCAGGTCTTCTTCAGTCCCAATTTCTGGCTGTACCCCTAGATGCACACCACCCTTCAGAGCTGATCCACCTACTCTGCCCATGGCCTTTGCAGAGACCTTAACCAAGGTTAAGAGGGCAGAGGGCTATATAACCTGCCTCCAGCAAATTCTGGACAAGATGTGTGCATGGAACCTCTATAGGGCAGGGTTAGCAAACTGTCTTAGAAATTTGGAAATGGGATCAAGAATTCTAGCCAATTTCTACTGGTCTCCTGAACTAGAAGGCCCTGTAAACCTGGGGTTGCTGGGGCCCTGTGCCCTGAGAAGCAGTGAATGCTCATCCATGAAAGAGGACTAATGACACAGAAACCCAAGAGAGACAAAAGAACACATGGACTTCTAGAGGTGGAGAAAATGACTTGTTCCTAAATCTCCACTTCTTTTGACCTTAAGTTCCATGACACACTCCTCTGCAGTCTAACATGTCCCCTATGTGTACTGATGGTGGCTCGAGGTTATATTCTCCATGTACAAGTGACCCTCAAGGCACAGCTAATAAAGATTTGTCCATTGCTGTTTATCACCTACTCAAGTAGGAGAATTTTTTTATGTTAAAGCAATGGTAATGCAAATTGTACATCATTAATTTGAAATTCCCAAATCTGAGATGCTCCCAAATCTGAAAATTTCTGAAAGTCAACATGATGCCACAGGTAGGAAATTCCACACCTGACCTCATGTGATGAGTGCAAGTCAAATGCAGACGCACTAAAAATACTATAAAATTATCTTCAGAGTATGTGTATAAGGTATATATGAAACAAATGAATTTTGTGTTTAGATTTGGGTTTCATCCCTCAGATATTTCATTATGCTTATGCAACTAAGCACTTCTGGTCCCAACCATTTCTCACAAGGATGCTCAACACAGACTCTCAGACTCCAGATCTTGTTTTACAAGATCTGCTTAAATATAGTAGCAGGAATGAATTATGCTTGAAAGTAAGAATTGACCATATTTAAACCATCTTTCATTTATTAATTTATCTATATTCTGCAGAAATTGGTGGCATGCAAATGGCAAAAAGAAAAAGGCCTAGCTGAAGCACTAGCCACAGCTCCACTGGACTCCAGTCTACTTAATTTTACTCACATATTGGAACGTTCTCTATTCTGTACCAAATTATTAGATACTGTGTGCTCTGCTAAGTGGTTCATTACAGAAACAGTGCTATTTTATATTTCTGTCTAAATATTATTTTAAAGAAAACGAAAACCACCTGGATTTGCTTGCAACTTCCTTCTATTTCCTAATAACATCTTTTTCATAAATTTCTTTTCATTTTTAAAGGGTAGATACATTGCCTCAAAAATAACAGACTGAATCTAAGCCAGGAATTCTTACCCTAGGGCTTTTGAATGGGCTTCACAGAGTGTGTAAAGCCCCTAAAACTGCACACACTTTTTGGGAAGAGAGATCTTTGTTTTCATCAGATTCTCAAAGGGATTGGATGGATGGTTGGTGTGTTCATTCATACAAGTTTTAGGGGGCACCGACAGTATGCTAGCCATTGTTTTAGGTACTGGGGCACTTTACAGCATAAAGAAACTGAAATCACAACTTTCAGAAAATTTACATTCTAATCAGAACAGGAAAAGGAAAGGAGGCAGATAGCAAACAAGTAAAATCTACAATATGAAAAATGGCGATAAGTACTCTGAAGAAAAATCAAGCAAGGAAGGGGGACAGGAAGTGTGAAGGGAGCAGGTATCAAACAGTCACATTGACTAATGCCATGTCAAAATACCTTCTTTTCCTTTCTTTCTTTCGGTTGTCCCAACCAACTCCTCTCCCATTTTCTCTCTCAAGGGAGCGAGTGGGAGAGGAGAAGGAACTCAAAATACCTTCACTTTCTAGAAATTTCATAATCTAAAAACTTTCAAATCCTCAAAAAAATATTTTTAAATACTTTTTTATGTTGAAATATATATATATATATATATATTTAGAATTAGGCAGCTGGACTCTGTTTAGATGATCCCAATTTTGTTGGCAATGTCTAAAGCATCATAATCAGGAGCCAGTTGAATGTATGCCTTTTTCTCTCCATTAGGCCCTATCAGGGTGTTAACCTTGGCCACATCAATGTCATAGAGCTTCTTTACAGCTTGTTTGATCTGGTGTTTGTTGGCCTTGACATCCACAATGAACACAAGTGTGTTGTTGTCTTCAATCTTCTTCATGGCTGACTCGGTGGTCAGAGGGAATTTGATGTTGGCATAGTGGTCAAGATTATTTCTCCTGGGGGCTCTCTTCCAAGGATATTTGGGCTGCCTCTGGATCCCCAACGTCTTGGGTTGCCAGAAGGTAGGTGACGTGTGGATCTTCTTCTTTTTGTGGCTGTGCACACCCTTCAATACTGCCTTCTTGGCCTTCAAAGCTTTTGCTTTGGCTTAGCTTTGGGAGGGGCAGGAGCTTCCTTCTTAGTTTTCTGCGCCATCTTGGTGAAAAGGGTCTAGAAGGCCCTAAAAATACGCTTTTATAGGGGCTGGGGTTGTGGCTCAGTGGTAGAGCGCTCGTCTAGCACGTGAGAGGCCCTGGGTTCGATCCTCAGTACCACATAAAAATAAATAAACAAAAATAAAGGTATTGTGTCCAACTACAACTTAAAAAAAAAATGTATATATATATATATATATATATATATATATATATATATATATATCACCTTTATATCTCCATAGTTACTTTTGGGCTATTTTACAAGCAATATAATTAAGAGTGATGATGGAAAAATAAATGTCTAACAAAAACTTCTCACATGTCATGATGCCAGAACATTTTAGTCTTTTTAAATTGATTTACTCAAAAAATAAATTGCCAATTTCTTTCAGTCTCTTGTGAACAATTATTCTTTCACTTATGTTTCTGTCTTTAATATTTAAGAAGCCATTCCTCTTCAGTGTTAAAAGCCAGGGATCTCAGTGCATGTGCATATAAGCGTATATAAGTATAAGTACAATTATAATTTAACGAGGGAAGATTTTAAATGTCAGAGAAAAATTTCAAAAGAGATATCAGTTCTTTCCTAAATCAGAAGAGTGGTCATATAGCATCTGGAACACTCTAGAACAGGAAAGAGATATTCAGCCACAGAATGGTCTGCTACCTTAAAAAGTACCTCAACCTACCTTTAGCTTCTAGTTCAGCATGAACTAGAAGGCCTTCTGATAGGATATTTAAAAAAATATTATATCATGAAAAGGAGTCACTCACTTTGTTTGAATGAAATAAACTCTAGGATCACTTATGACTGTGTCTATGATTAGATATTGATGACATTAATATTTAATGTCATCTAGGAAATGTTCTAAAATTGGGCTGTGGTAATGACTGCACAACTCTATAAATATGCTAAAAATCACTGAGCTGTACACTTATGTTAGTTTATTTCATGGTCTACAAATTATGTCTCAGTAAAGTTGAAAAAGAACTAGAAGAGAAGGGGTGGGAAGTATGTTGACATATTGATAACTAGTGAAGCTGAGTAATGGGGTTCATTATATTACTCCATCACTTTTGTGTAGTTTGAAAATTAAAAAACTTTTTTTTTCTTTCTTTTTTTTTTTTTTGGTGGGGAGAGTATAGAGGATTAAGCCCAGGGTACTAAATAGCTGAGCTACATTTTTATTTTTTATTCTGAGACAGGGTCTCACTAACTTAGTGCGGCTGGCTTTGAATTTGCAATCCTCCTGCCTCAGCCTCCTGAAGCACTGGGATTATAGGTTTGTACTACCATACCCAGCTAAGTTTGCACACATTAAATTTCATCTGGAAAAAACTATCTTTGGAAAATAAAGATTCTGAAAAGTGCTGGGGTTTGAACTGAGGGGACCAAATCCAGATACCACACTGTTCACCTTATTACTGCTTCTTGGTGGGCTGTTTGAAATCCATTCTGGAACAGGGTGGGATATAAGCAAATTCTGAATACAAATATTTAAAAGAGCTCAAGAACAAAATTATGAATAATATTTTTACTACACTGGAAATATTTCATCATGTGTAATGTCAGTATTTCATTCATTTACTCAACTTTTATTGAGTACATGAAATAACTCTTGGTATTATAAAGAATGAAAACTAGAAAACAGGAGATCAGAAAAAGAAAAAATTAAAATCTACCAATATTAGTGAGAACTGTATCAACACTTAGTAATTTCATTCCCAGGTATCTAACCAACAGAAAACAAAACATCTGTCAATGTAAAAACTAGTACACAAATGCTTACAACAGTGTTATTCATAAAAGCCAAAATGTAGAACCATCCTAAATATCCCTCAATTGATAAGTTAATAAAGAAAAGATGGTGCAAGTCATACAATGAAACATTATTTAGCAATAAAAATGAAACATAAATACAAGAAATTACACTTATGAGTTCTGAAAACATTATGCTACGTGAAAGAAACCAGTCACAAAAGACCATGCATATTATAGGAAATATCCAGATTAGGCAAATCCATAGAGACAGACAGTAGACTCCAGGGTTTGGGAAACCTAGGCAGTGACTGGGGTTGGGTACAGGGTTTCTTTTGTGGCAATGAACTATTCTAAAATTAACTGAGGTGTTGGTTGTATAACTATGCAAACATACTAAAAACCACTGACTAGTGTATTTTAAATGAATTAACTATATGGTATGAGAATTCTATCTTGATAAAGCAGTTAAAACAATAACAAAACCCCCTAAAACTAAAAGACACTATATCAGAAAGAATAAGGAATAAAAGAGGGAACAGGCATATATCCCCTGAGCAAGACTGAATCCCTTGGAAGAAACAGTATCCTGCTCACTTTTGTACCCCTATGCCTACAACCTAGGAAACAGGCCAACACCCTGAATAAATAAAACAATCAGACAGAACTGAAAGGCAGAGTCCTGTTTGCAGGTTGAAAATCTAAACAAGCCTAGGGTCTCAACTACACAGAGAAGAAATTGAAGTGCTGAACCTGTGTGTGGGAAGTGTGGTGAGTTACTATGTTTACATAGACAGGACCACATTTACAGTTTTCAAGGCATTTTGGTATTAATTCTTAAAATTTTATGTACAAATATGTGTAAGACAAAGTAGACTAATGGGGTGGGGGTGTAGCTTAGTGGCAGAGCACTTGCCTAGCATGTGTGAGGCACTGAGTTCCATCCTTAGTTAGCACCGCATAAAAAAACTAAAGAAATAAAGGCAAGCTGTCCATCTACAACTATTAAAAAAAAAAAAAAAAAAAGTAGACTGAAGTAGTCTTTCTGCACACCTGTACTGAGGACGTTGCTGACAGCTGGTGGAGCTGAGCTAATAGAAAGTCCAGACAGACCCTGTTCAATTCCTGTAGTTCCTGGTGGTGACAAAGATGGGGGATTGACTGAAGACAGCTGGACCTTCCAAAAAAGGAAAAAAGGAAAATCACTTAAGTTAGTTTAAAAGAATACGTAAGCACTGCCTCTCACCTGCCCTACAGATGAACACTTGGATCACATACTAGCTGTCCAAAATTTTACCTGGCACTTCTGCATTAGACACTGCTTACTAATTTTGACTATGCTTATGCTCCATCCTGTCACTTCCCTTCTCTGAATGCATGGCTTCTAGCCCCAGTTACATATATTGGCCTAGCTATACCTACACGAGGAGAGATTTTCCTCTTTCCCTTCTTAGACACCTGGAAATCATTTTATTCAATTCTTAAACATACGCTAATTATTCCTCTGTGAATTCTCAAGTTTTTAAAAAATATTTTCACAGCTCATGGAAGAAATCAGCAAGAAGTCTTAACAGATTTCTTAAGTTTCTCAAGATTTCTAACTCCCTGAATACTTTTAATCTTTTCTCATCAATGAATAAAAATGGCCCTGGATCTCTACCTGTTGTGGGAGGCTATAGTCCATATGAACACCACAGATGGGCAGTGTTACTTCCAATTACTCCAACTTCTGCCAGTTCTGGTGCCCCTCACCGCATTCCAACAGCTTGTATTCTGACCCTTTCCCCAGCTGTCATTTTACCACTTGGTCTACTAAGACCAACTTTAGAGGTTCACCTGTGACCAAAAGCACTGATTGGGGGCGGGAGAGATGGCGAAGAGCTGGGATATGTAACTACGCTGGCTCTGGCCTTGAGCCAATGCTGGGAGTCTGGTGAGAAGGGATGAAGATTCTTGGTGGCTTCACTTTGTCTAGAACAGGGGATGGCTGATTTGTACCACAAAATGACAGTGGCAGCAGCCTGGTCTTTACATTTTCTTTCTGGGTGTCTGGTTATTCCTTAGTTATACATGCTGTGATGCCTACCTAAGAAACAATTAAAAATCCTATATACCTGCTCAAATACCTAGCTCTCTTTGCATATCAATCAAGTTTCCTTAAATAGTATACATCAGTGAGACTCCCTGATCCCCCACCACTCACTTGTTGTGCCCTGTAATTCAAGTTTCTGAAATGGCCTTCCCTCAGGACATCCTTCTGCTCCTCTCACCTGCCTTCTCTGCAGCACCTTCCTGGCTGACCACACCCGTGTACTTGAAGCTTTCTTCTCCCTCTGGCTTCCTCCTAAGCATCCTTTGATTGATTCCCTTTCTCAATCCATTCAGATTTTCAAAATCTTAACCTTAGTTCTCTAACCCAGGCAGGCCCAATCCCTCAACAATCATCAATATCCACTAGGTTGAATTATCTGCTCTTTGTTGATGATTCCCAAATCTGTATCTCTAGTTCTGTTCTCTTTCCTAATCTTCATTAGGATACCTTCCATGAACCTCAAGTTCAACATGATTATCAATACTTCCTTTATCTGTCCTTATTTCAACTTTTGCTACCAACATATGCACTGACACATTGATTTGTTTTAGTGGAAATGTCTTGAGCTATTCAGGCAGTAATATCATCTTACCTCTGTAAACCCATCTTTAAGAGGAGTAATAGGTGTACCAGTCATTTGTCCTGGAAGAGAAATTTTCTTTCCTTCTTCAAATGGGCGTGTAGGTATTCGATGCAAATAACCATAACCAATGCCACATCCTAGGCTATAAAAACATTTTTTCTTAAGGTCACTGCTCTCAATCACAGTTTACATTTTTTTTTTGAGGTTTTGAAATGTAAATCACACAGACATATTTCCATCCTTGTAAATAAGGTCGTCTTGCTGTCCACCCTCTATGAAACAGCACACCTCTCTCCACCACAGACACTACCTGTGTCTGTGCACCCTGATATTTTCCCCCCAAGCATTTATAGCCATTGTACGCCATGACTACCAATTTGTTTATTGTATTTCTCCTTCAATAAAATGTTAAAACCCGTTAGGGCAGAGACCTTGTTTGTTTACTGCCTTGACAGTTCCTGCACATGTAGACAATTATTTGCTGCATGGTGACAGTCAACCAATATGTTAAACACATCAGGGATGGGGCTGTGGCTAGAGCGCTTGCCTAGCATGTGTGAGGCACTGGGTTCGATCCTCAGCAACACATAAAAAAATAAAAGAAATAAAATAAAGGCATGTGTCCATCTACAACAACAACAACAACAAAAACAGGTATGGTGACGCATGCCTATAATCTTGGTTACTCAGGAAGATCACAGGTTCAAGACTAGCTGGGCAACGTGATGAGACACACCCTCTGCCAAAGAAAGGGCTGAGGGTAAAGCTCAGTGGTAGAGTGCTTGCCTAACATGAGAATCCCTGGTTTCAAATTCCAGTACTGTACAAAAGAAATAAAAGCAAAAATAAATAAATTAATTAATTAATTAAAAAAAAAAGAATTATTGGTTTCAATACTCTAGGTCAATTCTTTTTTTGAGGAGTCTTAGTATAAATTAATACCTTATTTCAAAACAAATGTAATCAATGCTTACAATACATCTGAATGAAAAGGTTAAACAGTCAAAACTCAGCCTAAAAAATGATCTTACCTGCCTTCTCCACCCCATGCAGAATTTGGTGTAATAATCACTTCTCGACAATTATCAGTATCTGTGTTGTACACATAAAGCTTCAGTGGTTTTGCTTCATGTGTTTCAATAAGGCTGAATAGATCTTCAGACTGCAAAACCGTCATCGGAGAAAAAAGTTTTTAAATATAATAATATTTCAAATCAGTTGCTTTCAAACCTGGCTATGATCAAAATCATCTGGGAAACATTCTTAAAAAAAAAAAAAAAAATCAGATTCTGGGCTCTGCCCCACACACTGAAATCATTTTTTGATATGCCAAGAAAGATTTCATTCAATGTACAATGCAATATATTATCTCAAGAAAGGCCTACTACATTTCTGTACATCAGTAACAAATCTTCAGAAAGAGAAACTGGGAAAACCACCCCATTTACAATAGCTTAAAAATAAAAAGATTTAGGAATAAACTTAACAAAAGAGGTAAAGACCTCTACAACGAAAACTACAGCACACTAAAGAAAAAAATTGAAGAAGACCTTAGAAGATGGAAAGATCTATCTTGTTCTTTGATAGGCAGCATTAATACTGTCAAAATGACCATACTACCAAAAGCATTATACAGATTCAATGCAATCCCAATCAAAATCCCAATGACATTCCTCATAGAAATAGAAAAAGTAATCATGAAATTTATCTGGAAAAATAAGAGACCTAGAATAGCCAAAGCAATCCTTAGCAAGAAGAGTGAAGCTGGTGGCATTACTATTCCAGACCTTAAACTACACTACAGAGAAACAGTTATAAAAACAGCATGGTATTGACACCAAAATAGACCTGTAGACCAATGGTACAGAAGAATAGAGAACACAGAGACTAACTCATATAACTACAGTTATCTTATATTAGACAAAGGCACCAAAAACATATATTGGAGAAAAGATAGCCTCTTAAACAAATGGTGCTGAGAAAACTAGAAATCCACATGTAACAAAAGGAAATTAAACCTCTATCTCTCACCATGCACAAAACTCAACTCAAAGTGGATCCAGGACTAGGAATTAAACCAGAAACCTTGCACCTAATAGAAGAAAAAGTAGGCCCAAATCTCCATCATGTGGGATTAGGCCTCAACTTCCTTAATAAGACTCCTATACTGCAAGAATTAAAACCAAAAATCAATAAATGGGATGGATTCAAACTAAAAAGCTTCTTCTCAGCAAAAGAAACAATCAGTGAGGTGAATAGAAAGCCTGCAGAATGGGAGCAAATTTATACCACAAGCACATCAGATAGATAGAACACTAATCTCTAGGATATAGAAAGCACTCAAAAACCTTAAACCAAAAACAAACAAACAAACAAAAAAACCCATAAACAACCCAATCAAATGGGCCAAGGAACTGAACAGACCCTTCTCAGAAGAGGATATAAATCAATCAACAAACATACGAAAAAATGTTCAACATCTCTAGCAATTAGAGAAATGCAAATCAATCTCACTCCATTCAGAATGGCAGCTATCAAGCATACAAACAACAATAAGTGTTGGTGAGGATGTGGGGAAAAAGGCACACTCATACATTGCTGGTGGGACTAGTGTAGCCAATCTGGAAAGCAGTATGGAGATTCCTTGGAAAACTTGGAATGGAACCACCATTTGACCCAGCTATCACACTCCTCGGTTTACACCCAAAGGACATAAAAACAGCATACTATAGGGACATAGCCATTATCAATGTTTATGGCAGTATAATTCACATTAGCTAAATTGTGAAACCAACTCAGATGCCCTTCAGTAGATGAATGGATAGATAAACTTTGGTGTATACACACACACACACACACACACACACATATACAGCATTAAATGAAACTAAATCATGGCATTTGCAGTAAATGGATGGAGTTGGAGAAAATAATACTAAGTGAAGTAAGCCATCCCAAAAAACCAAAAGCTGAATGTTTTCTCTAATATGAGGATGCTGACTCATAATGGCAATGGAGTAGAGCGTGGGAAGAATGGAGGAACTTTAGATAGGGCAAAGGTGAGGGAGGGGAAGGGAGGGGGCAAGGGGGTAGGAATGATGGTGGAATGAGTTAGACATCATTACCCTAAGTACATGCATGAAGACACGAATGGTGTGAAAATACATTGTGTATAACCAGTGACTTGAAAAATTATGCTCTAAATGTGTAATATGAAATGAATTGCATTCTGCCATCATGTATAACAAATTAGAATAAATAAATAATTTACTAAAAAAAAGGCCTACTAAGTGTAAGGCTTGAGTCCAGTCCATAAGACCTAGTCAGCATTCTTATTCAAACCCCTGTATCCTCAAGTTCTACATATTCTCCTTTTACTCTCCATTATTAAAACCTGATAGCTAGCTGGGTGCAGTGGTGCATGCCTGTAAGCCCAGAGGCTTCAGAGGCTTAGGCAGGAGAACTGCAAGTTTAAGGTCAGCCTGGGAAACTTAGTGAGACCCTGTATCAAAATAAAAAATAAAAATGCTGGGGATGTAACTCAGTGGTAAAGGGCCCCTAGGTTTAACCCTCAGAACAAAAACAAGCAAGCAAACAAAACAACAAACAAATAAAAACCCTGGTTATTCTGGCACCTTATTTTTTCTCATCTTGAATTGGTAATATATACTTATGCCAGCTAATGGATTTAGAAAAGGACCTGACTAATACACCTGAGCCAATTCTGTAATCTTGAAAAGCAAAAAGGAGATGACGTAGCACTTCAAGGGGGGGATAAAAAACAAAAGGGGAAGAAAAAATGAAATTGATGACTAAAATGAGGATTTGATTTAGTTTTAAGGCACATAAGAAATTTTGTACATCATATACATAAAATCTGTGCAACTGCCACAAGTATGTGTTTTTCCTCATAGCTATACCTAACAAGATACCTCCCAGATGTTCCATCGAACACTGAAGCATAAGCTATCTTGATCAGCAAAGAACAAAATTTTAAATCTAAATGGAAAGCATGCAAACATTCTTCTGAGTCCACACACAATGAGAAAGTACTAGAAGATAATTCATTAACGAACACATTAATTACCTCATTCATGACCATATCTGCTCCAATGATATAATCGCTGTGTGGTCTAAGACCTGCCAGTGCTGCAGGAGAATTTGATTCTACTTCCTAGGATGACACAAAAACACACCCTAAAATTAATACATATAAAGTAATGCTCCAAGTTTTATAGCCACTATTTTTAATTATAGTTAAGAACCCTAGAAATCTATCTATCTTATTGGAAATAATGTTAGAAGTCAGAAACTAGAATTTAAAACTTTTCAAGACTAAAAATTATGTAATATTTTTCAAATATTTAAAATATTTCTGTAGCTTTCTGCTTAACACACCTTATTCTAACAGATACATCATTAGAAAGCATTCTTAGGTTTCGATATTTGCATCTCCTCACATTTTTTAAAAAAATCAATCTATATTTAAGGGCTGGGATTGTGGCTCAGTGGTAGAGCACTTGCCTCGAACATGTAAGGCCCTCAGCACCACATAAATAAATAGATAGATAGATAGATAGATAGATAGATAGAAATGAAAATATTGTGTCCATTTACAACTAAAAAAATATTTAAAAAGAAATCAATCTATATTTAAAAAGCAATAAGCGATGATTTATTATGATCTCCCCAAACTGGAGATAATCACTGTTACAAACACCTTTCCACACTGCTTGTTCCACTGCAGGTAATAGTTCATGGTCGTACCTACCAATACATGCCAGACATTTTCGTTTGCTCCGTCAAAGCTGCAGAATCGAATGCTCACTCCCAATAAGCCCTGGCCACCCCACAAGTTGCTTGGTGTGACTGAGGTCTCTCTCAGCTCCAGAGTTTTGCTGCTGTAGATGAGCATCTTGACAGGCTTTTCAACATTTGCTTTCAGTAGATCCTTCAGAGTGTCATTGTCTTTATTCTGTGAACACACAGAAATCACATTTTTTAAGAAATGTAACTATTCTTAGTGTAAGTATCCTATAGCTCTCAAAGAATAATATCAAATCTATATAAATATAACATTCATCAGGCAAAAGTTTCATTAACATTCAAATATTCCTTTATATACAAAATGTCAAGAAGTTAAGAACAACTCTTATGTTAGTACTGTCTTTAAACTGACCTTTTGTTTTTTTTACTGATCTATTTGTTTTTTGTTTTTTATTGATGTTATTTTTTAAATACATGACAGTGGAGTGCATTACAATTTTTATTACACATATATAGCACATTTTTTAATGTCTGTTAGTATATAAAGTATGTTGACACCAATTCATGTCTTCATACATGTACTTTGGATAATGATGTCTATAACATTCCACCATCATTGCTAACCTCCTGTCCCCGCCCCCCAACTTCCCTTCCCACCCCCTCTGCCCTATCTAGAGTTTGTCTATTCTTCCCATGCTCCCGCTCCCTACCCATTATGGGTCATAAACTAACCTTTTTTTCTAATAGTTGAGTATGGATTATAGAATTTTCATCTCAACATTATTTAGAGTGATCAAGGGCTTCAGTGATTAAAAACAAAATATACTATAATCAGATTACTAACACAATTGCAATGACTTTGATATCACAATCTAAAATATCTACTGTGGTTAAAGTTTAATTTTGAACTTTGCCTCTAAATATATACTTTATTATTTATTAGGAGCCGGAAGGAAAAGAAAATGGAAAAAGAATATTAAATATTTTATTAGATAAATGAATAAAGGCCATTATGTCAGAGTGTTGGTAAGTAATGAACAAAACCTTAAGTCTGTTAGGAACAAATAAACTAATCAAGTATCTATTGTCATAAGATTCCTTTGCTGATAGGACATGATTTCCTTCCTATAGGGCTTTATTATGGGTAAAATGAAAGGATTTATAAAAACTAGTTTTTAATTCTGTACTTTTCGAGAACATCTTTTGGTTCTAATAAAATTATGTGTATGTCATGAATTTAGCCCCAAGAAAACCGACAAGTGACATTTTACTAATCCATTTGCCAAAACGTACAAAAGTCTACCATCTTTAAAAATAATCCTTTATATCTTAATTATTTCTTTCTGCTTATAAAAATCAAATATTTAACATATAAAGTAAAAGACTGCAGTGATTGTACACTGGGGTGTGAGGCACTGTAAAGTATAGATTTGACATTTTAAAGTTTACCAACCTGTGATTATTTCTAAAAATTAGCATCATACTCTAAATAATCTAAGTAATTAATAAACATCCATCCCAGATAATATGAAAAATTCCATTTCCAAAAGATCACAAAGTACTATAGACAAAACTAACAAAAAGCCAAACTTACTAATCTTGAACCATTAATAGAAACAATAAAGTCAAAGAAAGGCTCCAGTCCAGCTCTATGTCCTGGGGAATTTTCTTGTACCTATAAAAACAAAATATTAAAAATGTAAAGCTTAATTTAAAATTGTAAGCTAAATTTCCATAGCTATCCTTTTTCAGTAAAAATAGATTAATTTCATTAACAATGAAATACAGACACATGCTAATTCTTGCATTTCTCTTCATCTCTCCCAGAGAATGCCTTTCAGCTCTTTAAATTCTACTCACTTTTTAAGTTTATCTCCTATATGAGGTTGTCCCTTTACGGCTCTATTTCCACATTACTTTCTCCTTTTTAGAGAGGAAGATGCCACTCCTCCAGCAATTAGTAAACAGTTAATCATTACAACTGAGCAAAAAATTCAAGCATTATTCCTTAACTGTCAAGGGACTGTCAAGATAGTCATCTGCTGAGAAAAAGGTGAGAAGAGAAACACAGCCCTCTAATCGAGGACCAAAGAGGCTAGCGTTATAATGGAGATATAGGAATCTAAGGAGAAGGTCTGAAATGGATTAAAATTGATTATCCAGTCTCTAAATTTCCAGTAATATTAGTAGCTAGTAACAGAAATATGACCAATATAATCAAAATGTGAATACAATCAACTTTATATTTCCTTTACTAAAATAATTTTCACAATTGTCTAAAGGATTTTTACTTTGCTACCTGTTATTAAGTACTGCCAAAACTATCATACAAAAGCAAAAAGTCTGCACCAATATTTTTGATTTTCTATAACAATCCACACAGTTATAATAGTCAATTCTAAAGCTACGCAAATAAAAGATACACATTAATCTATACATAAAACTGTAGCTATTTACACAGTAACAAATCATTTTAATGCTTTAAAAATGGAACTCAGATTGTTCCCAGATACATTCCTCTAATGCCAATGTCAATCAGAATTGTTCATTACTTCTTGAATTAGTGTTACCTTCTATCTATTTACTTTTTTTTTTATTTTTTTATTTTTTTATTGGTTGTTCAAAACATTACACAGCTCATGACATATCATCTTCCATACATTTGATTCAAGTGGGTTATGAACTCCCATTTTTTACCCCAAATACAAGGTGCAGAATCACATCGGTTACACATCCACATTTTTACATAATACCATATTAGTGACTGTTGTATTCTGCTACCTTTCCTATCCCCTACTATCCCCCCTCCCCTTCCCTCTCATCTTCCCTCTCTACCCCATCTGCTGTTGTTTAATTCTCTCCCTTGTTTTTTTTTTCCCCTTTCCCCTCACAAACTCTTATATGTAATTTTGTGTAACAATGAGGATCTCCTTCCATTTCCATAGTTTCCCTTCTCTCTCCCTTTCTCTCCCCCCACTCGACTCTGTTTAATGTTAATCTTTTCCTCATGCTCTTCTTCCCTGTTCTGATCTTAGTTGCTCTCTTTATATCAAAGAAGACATTTGGCATTTGTTTTTTAAGGATTGGCTAGCTTCACTTAGCATAATCTGCTCTAATGCCATCCATTTCCCTGCAAAATCCATGATTTTGTCATTTTTTAGTGCTGCGTAATACTCCATTGTGTATAAATGCCACAGTTTTTTAATCCATTCATCTATTGAAGGGCATCTGGGTTGATTCCAAAGTCTAGCTATTGTGAATTGTGCTGTCATGATCATTGATGTGGCCTATCTATTTACTTTAAGCCAAATCATATTATCACTGTCCGAAGGAAGAAAAACTAGATTCTCTTTTCTTTTTTTCTTTTTTTTTTTTTTTTTGGCCACAGTAAACAGAAAGATGGTTCAATATTTACTAAAACTTTTTGATCTTGCATTATGTACATTTCCTGCAAATTTAGAACTAAAACCTTTTCATAATGAAGTTAAATATTAAAGGAGTTCATTATTTAAAGGTATTAGCTCTAATAAAAAAATCAGTATATACTGTTTTCCTTTTCTTATACTCAGTTATTTCCTATTCTATGTATTATCAAACAAAATATCTAGAACCCAAGGAACAGAAAGAATTCCCCCCACCCCAATGACAACTCTGAAAGGGAAAGTGGTGGCTGCCTGGATCTATAAGTCACTACCACCCGGGAGTCACCTCTACCAGGCATGAAATGATTGGCCATTAAGTGGCCATAGTTAGAAGAGAAACTCCTCAGGTATGAAAAGGGGATTGATGGTACAGATACCTAGAGTCCTAGGAGTTTCATTTAATAGGGTCCATGTCTAGTCATCTGGTTATCTAATTATCTAATCTAATGTTTCCAAATGACCATTAATAGAATTTTATCTAGAAGGCAACTAGTTCATCATCAGTTTTGGACTTCACTGAGTTTGCCAACTTTATCTTTTTGTTAAAAAGACTAACGACAACACTTTTGTAATGTCATCACTGACTCAGAAAGTTGACCCTACACAATGATTCTTATCATGCCACCTTCTGAGTATAAAGTTTAAACTACTTCTCTGAAATGGAAAGTTTTCAGGATCAGGTGTACCTCTGATAACTCAAAAAGGATCCAACAGTTAAGTGTGAATTTTAAAACAAATAAAATTTAAAAAATTCTTCCCCAAACTCCATTTTTCCATTTCATTTGCTACAAATATTGATTTCCTGTTTCTAATGGGCCTTGAAATTAATTTCTTCCCCAAATTTATTTATATCATTTATAAATAAGTAGGTATCTTAATTAGTGCTAGGAAACCAGCAGGGGGAGCCCTAGAAAATGCTCTTTGACTCTACATTTGAAGGAAATTTCCTATATTTCACAGCATGGATAAATACAGCAACTAAACATCTGCACAGGCAAACTTCTCTTGCAATATTATCCACTGATAAGAATCTCTTAGGCACCTCATCTCCCCAGCATTGGATTACTAATTCAATACCTTCTGTCTCCTATAAGATTTCTTGATAGTTAAAATTTATCTTCTGCTTTCTTCAGTTCATTTTAATTAAGTGGTTTACAAATATATTTGGCTCCATAGGTCATTTAACACTTACTATTGAGCTAAACACCATAGCAATTTAAGATGAGCAGACTCAATGTAAAAATTTAATAACTAAGAGTTAAAAAAAAATCTGTACAGTGCAAACATAAAAGTTCAGAGCATACCGATTTGGTTTCAAGCTGTGGTTCTGCCCACTTAGTTGTGTGAGCTTGGGAAAGTTTAATATGCCTCTCTGGGCCTCAATTCCTCATTTGCAAGTAAGGGATAATGTTATCTACTTTACAAGAATGCTGTAAAAATTCAATGAACTAAAGTTTGTGAAATGCCATCTCAGTCTCTAGCTTACGACAGGAGCCCTATAAATTTTAAGGTCATCCCCTAACTCTGCAAACACTATCTGAGGGCAATTTTTTTGTAACCAATCAATACCTGGAAAAAAGGTTATTTTTCCAATCATCTATTAAGTGTCTCTTACTCCTTAAAAAAGAAAACAAAAAATACTTATGTTATTCAGCTTGTAAGAGAAGACAATTTTTTTAAATGTCACCTCTCAAAAATCAATTTAGATAGGTAGCAGATCTAAAGGTCCAAGGGGAAAACCATAAAGCTTTTAGAGAAAAACACAATATCTGAGGTCTTTAAGTATGCAAAGGCTTCCTAACACTGACAAAAAAAGCATTGTCAACCAAATAAACTCAAGAACTATACTAAGTTCTGAAGAATTCAAGAATTATACTAAACTAAGATCGTCTGTTCATCAAAAGGTACATGGTGAAAGTGAAAAGATACGTATCCAACAAAGGAATCCAGAGGAAATCTGAACTACTGCAAATTGTTAAGAAAACAGATAGTAAAACCATATGAGGTACCACTTCTCACTCACTAGAATGACAAAATAAAATAAAATAATAACAAGTGTTAGAATAGATGTGGAGAAAATGGAACTGTCATACACCGCTAGTGGGAATGTAAAATGGTAAAGCCACCGTGGAAAACAGTTTGGCAGTTCCTCAAAAATATTAAACACATAGTTATTGTATGACCCCAACAATTCCACTCCTAGATATACAACTGAGAGAAATGAAAATACATGTCTACAAAAAAACTTGTGCACAAATTTCATACATATTAATTATAATAGTCAAAAAGTAGAAACAACCCAAACATCCCTCAGTGGATAAATTGCATAAATAAAATGTGGTATATCCATAAAAAGGAATGAAATACTGTATTGATACATGCTAGGACAAGAACCTTGAAAGCATCAAGCTAAGTGAAAGAAGCCAGGCACAAAAGACAACATATTGTACGACTCCATCTATGTGATATAAGCAGAACAGACAAATCCATAGATAGACAGTAAATGAGTAGTTGCCAGGGGTTGTGGGTAGAAGAATGGGGTGTGCTGGGTTTCTTTCTGGAGGGGAAAAAAAAAAGGCTCTGGAATTAGATAATAGTGATGATGGATATACAACTCTGTGTATATACTGAAAAACCACCAAACTATACTTCAAAAGATTCAGTTTTATGGCATGCTAGTTATATCCCAATATAATTGCTTAAAAATAAAGATAACCCAGTAGAGAAACAGGAAAAAGATTGTGGCAGATAGTGAACAAAAGAGGATATTCAGTAACCAATAAATAAGAAAATATGCTCAACCTCAGTGGTCATCAAAGAAATGCAAGCTAAAACCACAGTGCAAAACCACTACATACCTATCGGAATGTTCAAAGTGAAAAAGAAAATATTAAGGGTTAGTGGAACATTCAGAGACTTCAATTACTGCTGGTAGGAGTGTAAATTAGTAAACCATTGATACTGTAAATACGCACACCTTTTGACCCAACGTTTGACTCTGAAGCGTATCCCCATAGAAATGGGTGTACATGTATTCTCTGGAAGACACAGTGTAATAGTCACAGCAGCACTGCTTGTAACAGCCCCAAACTGAAAACTATATACTCCCCCCCAACAAATGCCAATCAACCGTAGATTCATAGGTTAATAAATTTTAACATATTCATTCTATGACATTAAAAACATTAATGAAATGAAAGGTCTACAACAATACACAACATGAATAAATTTCACAGGCAAAATTTGAGCAAAA